GTCTACAAACTGTAGCATTTAATTTTCAAAAATTTTGCATTATTTTTAACGTTTTTCTAAACCGAACTGTATGGTGTGAAAGTCAATGTCCTGTTTTCAGTGACGTCGCTAGCGCTAGTTTTTTAGTGATAATTCCTCTGAACAAAGATCTTTAAGGTTAATTTTTTGAAGATGTATAGAGTAATTTAACATACATATAGCATATAAAAATTAGCTCTTAGAAAATTCATTATTCCAAGATATGCGCATTACAAATTTCGAAAGTCACGTCATTAACGAAGGCTATTGCTCATCTATTTGATCAAGTAAACATTGATAATAATATATTAATTGGAACATTAATATACAAATTAGTAAATATTCCTTCAACTTTAACTGTAATTGTAAGCATATAATAAATATGAACGAAAGCGTTTGGGTTTTCTCCTTGAAATTTATATGAAGGAGGATATCGTATAGAAGGAATTTTTATCGAAAATCTTTCCATTATATGTTCATTTGTTAAATTTACAATTTTTGGTAATCTAGTTCTATATATATATTCATCGCTTTTTATTTCAATTTGACAACATTTTAATATTGAAAAATTACTATGTAGAATTAAAATTTTTCGTGGATTTTGAATTTCTAATGTAAATTGAATATTTTCACCAGAAACATATCCTAATTTATTAAAAGTTGCCGTTAATTTAATATCTTGTCTATTTTCAAATTCGAATATAGATGGTAATAAACATCGAGGATTTTCTAATAAATTAACACGTGGATGTACTGTTAAATATTTTTTTTTAGATTTTATATTTGATGTATACCATGATTTATCAATAACAACTCGTAAAAAATATCGAACATGTGGAAACATATCAGGTTGATTGATAGTTGGTGGAAGATTATCAATTAATGGAATTTGAAATAACCATGCATGACGTCCACGATCATAAATAAATTCTTGTTGTGTTATACTAGGTCTAGATAAACTAACTTTTTTATAATAAAATTGAATCTTATAATAATCTGAATGTGTTAGTAAAGATCCACCTTTACCATTTGAAACAGGTGCAGTTGTTGTTTTACCAATTTCACCGATTAGACTTATGTATATTTCACATGTTTCTAGATTTTCTTCCGTAATATTTAATCTAACTATTCCAGATACAGTTTCACCAGAATAATAAAACAAATTATTTCGATCAACATCAATTGTAATTGCACTACTGTTATCATTGCCCATATTTTATTTATTTTATTTTCAGTTACACTCTGTAATATATATACATATATATTAGTTTTTTTCTTGTAAGTATAGATCGGAGAGATGAATCAGCGAAATGAGATATTATTATTGATTTGAAGTCGTTAGAGAATAAACACCAGTGATGATGACATACATTCCAAACATTTAGTTCTAGTAGTATTACTTTAACAATGAATAATGTCTAACAACAAACAGTTTATTAATATATTAAAAAACTGGTGTTAAATTTTTTATATTAATTTTTTGTAAAATTAAGCTGTGTCTTCTTACTTTTTTTTGAGTTGAGTGTTTTATATATGTTGTAGTTTTTTTATAACGAAAAAAAAAAATATTCGTACTTTTAAAATTGCTGTTGTTTTTAACTTAACGCGAGCTTTTTTTTTCATTTAAGTTTCTTATTTGATTGTTATGCTTTTATACGTATGAATAATGATATTCTTAGAATCGAGAGGAATATATTTTAATAAAAATAGTAAAAATGAAAAGATAACGGAAATGTATGACTTCATCATTAGTGACATTGAGCGAACAATGATGGGATTCGGTTGCATTTTGCAGAACTGAATAAAGTGAAAAAAAAGCCTGAAAACTTATAATGACTTGATGCAGCCTTCGATCTCTGACTTCCTGCGTAGACGACATAAATGTATTACGAATGGATCAGATAGAAACACTTTACATAGTTTGCTTTTGGCATATTTTAAAATAAATTTAAAATCTGGTTTTGAGTTGATTATATGCAGAAAATATAGTTTTTGGAATAGAATTTTCTTATTCGCACGAATGTAGAAGGCTAGCAATTGTGCACGCATTTAATAGTGATCTCCCGTTTTTCTGCAGGCTTCTATTGATAAACTTATGTTTATATCCATCAAGTTTTATATGATGTAGTTAACTATGCTTTCTTTTATCATTATCATCAAATGTGGAAGAGCTGGCAGCAGTCTACATTTTATACACAGAAAAAAGTTATATTTGAAAACAAGATCAGCAGTTTTGTAGAGTAAAATATTCAGTGTCAAAATTAAACAAAAGTCAAATGTCAAGAGACGTTCTGTTTGCCTTAAAGCAAAACAAAAGTGTTAAGTTCAATTAGTGCTAATAAACACTCGAAGAACTCAAACACATCAAACGAACAGAACAGTTTTGTTTCAACTTTAAGTTAGCAATCGTTTCCACTATAGCTAGTAATTCACTAATCAGCGTTGAGTGAAGCTCCTATAGTGACAAGAAAATGTAGCAATACAAAGCACTTTGAAGTGGGAAATTAATTTGACTATTGTTTATTTATCTATAGATCATTTGGAAATTCATGATTTGTATAGTATTTGATGAAGTAGTATAGAATTTCAAAATATTCAGGATATTCGACCGACATCACTTTCATTGATCGCCTATTCATACATATTTTGCATTACTATGTTCAGTTTCATTGAGCTGTAATTATATTGTCTTGCAAAGATGATTGAATTTTATTGTAGATTTTACTCCATTGACGCTGTTTAATTTAATTGTATTTCGTCTAGTCCGTTCAGAACATAATACGAGACACTTGACTTTCATTTTTAGAAGGACATGAACTAGAGTGTGGGTGGGTATGGATTTTCTCTTCGTATCTTCATTCACATCCACATCCACATCCTCTCCCGGAACGGGATAAACGGAATTTTTCGGGATTCGGGACTATCCCGCAGTACTCTAATTGAAACATATAAATTTTTGTATGTGCCTATCAATCTATGATAGAACTTGCGATTGTAAAACAATGTTCATCTAATTTCTTTTTGTTCGACAAAATGTCATTAAAAACAACAGGGTTGTAAAAATATAGGCAAATAGATTAAAATGTTTTGTCTTATAAACTGTATAGCTCAATGAAGAAGCATCGTTGAATAAAAAAATGCATATTCTATTCAGTTTCAAATTTCGTCTAGGCAATATGAGAATTCCAACTTTGCCTAGGCAAATTTAAAATTTGCCTATAACATAAACATATATTGCTTATTTTATTTCAGATTTTCGTCTTATCTCATGATGTTATATATTTTTCTTTAAATTATTTAAATATTCCGAATATTGATACATGGCTAACATTTTAAACAAGTTCGATACTTGGTTTGTTAGGGACTTCAGGTTATTCACAGAACTGATGCTATCAAATGGATATTGCCTTTTAAGAAAATATTTTTGATAAAATAAATTTATAAATTTTATTTCTTCAAATGAAATTGATCACGAAAAAGATACAAAACGATTTCATCAAAAATAAAGCAATCGCTTCAAGAACTACTAGCGTCGTTGATCAGTTTTAGCGTTTAAGGAAAGATAGATGTAAGACGCTTTGCTGTGCTGACACTTGAAGGTTCTAAATCGAAAACACATCAATCAATCAGAATGAGCTCCAGATGTTTTATTTTAGGTGCCAAAATGTTTCGTTTATCTTTATACACTGAATGAGTGTTGAATTTTTAGATTTTTCAACATATAAATAGTTTATCTTGAGGGTGTGGGTGTGGGTGTGGGTGCGGATATGGGTGTGGGTATGGGTGTGGGTGTGGGTGTGGAGTGTGGGTGAGTTGAAGAAAGAATAAATATCATACCCACACCCCACATCCACAGCCACCCACACCTACACCCACCCACATCCACACCCACACACTCACAACCACGCCTACCCACACCCCACACCCTACGCGAATTACAGGTCCATTACAGTCGATAAGTTTAGATCTGTGCTATCTGAAAGTTTTTTTTTCTTTGTCGACAACATACTACTCAGATCATACTTTTCAAAAATATTTTTCAACTTTGAATCTCTATTTTTCAGATTTCCTTTCTTTCGTTAATCGGTTTATTATTGGTTCATTATGACAAAATCAAAGAAATGCATGAAGCTTCATCTTTATACAGTACAACAGGTATTATTTTAATGTTCGATTTTTGTAATCTGTTGCGGTTGATTTGATAACAGCACTCAATTAAACTCTGATTAGATACATATGACCTGAATTCTTTTCTGTATTCTAACACTTAATCCTCATGTTCATCTCGAAATCGATGAGTATATTCGAATGGAAATAAAAAAGCAAAAGATTTCGCGTCTGTTCCTTGCCATCATACAAAATAATCATCTAGTCCTATGGTCAAGGTTATGGTTATGCAAATATTGAACATAAAGTACCTGTCACACTTGAAAATATGTGTCAATCGGGTTCCATGGGTAACTAATTTACAGCAAGAACTATCATGATACTTGTTGAAAGAGAAGACATCGAATTAGATACATAAATTAGGGAATATATTGAGGATATACCAAAGTGATGGAAACATATTACAGTTCGACATCTTTTAACACATACCGCTGATACACTGGACTATCGCGATGATTATAATTATCGAGAAAATATGACGGAAGACGAGATGTTCGAGCTGATAAAGACAATTCCATTGGATTTTGAAACCGGATAAACAGTACTCGTATAGTAATCTCAGATATATATTATTGGAAATATTAATTCGTCAAGTAACCGATGAATTTTATGATGATTTTCTTCAGAAGAATATTTTTGAATCACTTGCATGAAACCAGCACGAATCATCAGTGAAAGTGATATCATTTTAAATTGTGCTTCAGGTTATGTTCTTGTTGATAATGACGTGAAAAATCAAGAATAGGTTTCACCAAGTCTGAATACATTTGCTGATGGTACTCTTTATGGCAGTATTTATGGTAAGTTTTGATCACATGTGGCGTTCATTTATATTAAATGATGATACAACATATCCATATGGTTTTGGTTGGGAATTGGCTGAGACAATTCATGGAATGCGTGTTGTGAAACATAGTGAAACATGGCAAGGATTTCAATCGATAATCATTCGAGTTTTGGATGTGAAAGTCACCATCGTTATTTTTGCCAATCTCGATGCTGTAGATGTAGAGGAAATGGCTTCACATGTGCTTGAAATTTATAATCCACAGCTTGCTCTTATATCGGAGGATGATGAATAAAATAAATTCGAAAGGAAAAGTCAACAAAAACTCATCAAACAGTCTCTATTTTCGTCTCCGTTTCTCGAAATAAACAGATGGAATTCATTTCAGTTTCGCTGCATATTAAAGCAAAAAGACGGCTCACGCTGTATACTATGCTGAATCTTCAGTTGCAATATTTTATTGTATTTTTCATATTGATAGGAAAAAATAAAATGTTAAAAAATTTGATTTAAAAACTGGATAAATATCTTAGATTAAATACTTGTGAATAATTAGGCTAGGTAACAAAAAATAATTGAAATACATAAAAACTGTTAGTTATAAGAAACGAGACAAAACGATTAGTATTGAAAATCAGTTTTAAAAGCATGATGTCTTTGACATTCAGATCATTCATGAAGAGGATCGAATATATTCTATTGAATTAATCAGCATCGATACTCAAGCAATAGGTGATAGCATAATTCAAGCGTTCGTACATAATTTCAGTAGTTGAATATTCCGGAAGATCAATAGTAAAACTACATGTATGTGATCCTAAAAATGAATACCCCAAATAGAAAGACTCATTCTCACTGGTCACAACTATACTTACGTGGAAGTAGTCGATCGATTTCATCGGAAGATGCGTAATATGGATTGATACAAAATTTTGATGTAAAATCTGCATCTCGAGTTGGCAATGTACTTCTTCCCCAAACGAAGATTAAAAATGATTTTCTCTGTTCTTCATTGAACATCTCATTTAGAACAGTCCAAAATCGTTGAATATGTGGAGAAACTTCATGAAAAGTATCACCATAATATGTATTCTTTTTCAAGAGTTCGACATCAATTTGACCTTTTCCACATACGGCTTGTTCGAGTTCATCAGCAGTAAACAAACTTAAATAATACGATGGAACAATACTATACAAGCCTTAACGAATAAAATCAATTTGTCGAGAAAATTCATTCAGACGATATTCACGATATTTTCGACAATAATCTTTAAAGTTAGCTGCTGTAATCGGAATATCTTTACCACCAGGAACAAGTTCATAAGTTTGTCCAGCCGAACTGGCAACATCAAATCGAAGTTCACTCATAATACTACTAAACAGATAATCTATGTCAATATTACTGTTAATCAATTGACTTTGTTCAATTTGCATTTCCATTTCTTTAATAATTGTAAAACTTTGCATATCGATTGCTTCGATATCTTCAAGAGTAATCGGTTCTCGGACGAGTTGTTTCCAGAGTAGGGTAGGAAATTTCAAATCTAAATAATGTTTTTGACGTATGGCTATGCCCATCAATTGTCCGACGAATCGATATTGATTTCGAAATATATTTGGAATAGATTCTTTCGGTAAAAAAACATTCGGAATCCATCGATCTTGATTCGAACCACTGCCTGTTCGTCCATTCGGACACAAGATGAACAATGGTAGTCGAGTACTACATATATCTGAACAGATACACGTGACTGAATCTCGATACGGTCCACCAGCATCAATACTATGCATTTCAACATATGTAGCATCCCAAAGACGTTCATCTGCTCGTCGAAATTTGATAGAAGCATCTTTGAATAATTGCTTGAATGCTTGATTGAACATCGTATTTTCACCGTTCTCACTTGGATAACTGGCTTTTAATGTATCGAATTGAACTGATGGTCGACTATCATCATTGGTTGCTACTGTCTGTTCTAGAGATTGTTGTAGTAGTTCATATTTCTTTCTATGTAACAGATAGATTTTGGCTTTACGAAATTTATCCATTAGGATACTTTGACCTAATGGTAAACTTAAATCGATAGTTGGCAGAACTTTTTCGATCAGTGCACTCAATTGATAGAAAAATTTGGTACGTATTCGTACACAATCACCTGGAATGTTAGAGAGTGATGGATATTCTGTATAGATTGCTGCAGTTGATTCCGATTCAGTTGGTAGACAATTGATGAATTCGTCGAAAGAATTGTCAGACGATAATTTCTTGTTCATCAAATTCAAAAGTTGTAGATCAGCAGTTTCATCGAAATAATTCTTGCATCGATCAAGATCTTCGCCAGTGTAGTTGAGATTATCATCGAAAGTAGTACTCAATTGTGCAAGAAATGCTTTCGTCCATGGAGTTTGTTTCGTTGTATCGTTTAGGGCATTGATTATATCAATAACTGTGAATAGATCACGAACAATTTCTAAACTTTCAGCTAATGTCAATTCCAGTTGTTCATCCATGTTATCTGTACGTTTCTTGTTTCTCAATGATTGTAAATAAACTAAGTCCATGACACTCATGTAGAGTCTTTTCATGGTTTGATCGGTTATGGATGCTACTTGTGTCGATAGTTCGACGAATAATCGAAGTAGAAAATGAAGAATTTCTCTGTCAAGATTGATATTGTCATTTGTTTGAATTAAACTGAAAAAAATAACGATGTCAACTACGCTTTGTGAGAAACTTCAGTCAAGAACTTACCCGGCAAATAGACGAAGAATACAGATTTTTGCTTGATGAGTTGGAACCAATAGGAATAGATCGAAGAGTAAAGTGATTAGTAATTCCGGAAACAAAATTGGAATAATTGTAACGATTTCATTTTGATTCATATTCCATTGATCAGTAACAATTTCTGATAATAGACTGACGATTTTCAAAAGAAAATCCAAATTGGGTTCTTTGAATAACATTTGTTCATTGATCATTGTCGGTTCGTTTGCAGGATTTCTCATGAGTAAAGTTGGTTTTTCAAGAAATCGAATTAATTGAACAACTAAATCTTTTTGTAAGTGATAGAGTAATGGAGCATGTTTTTCAAGATGATTGTCCATGTTAGTTTGTTTCAATAATTGATCTATTTCAAGTTTCAGAATTGACTTGATGATTGGGCTCATTCGATCACTGCGTTGATCTGCTCGTGTGCTCGAATACGAAGAATGATAATCTAATAATCGTATGAGTCTGAGAATAGAGTACTGCAACCCGACCCGACCCGACCCGCACCCGAGCCCGACCCGCGGGTGCGGGCGGGTTCGGGTTCAATCTTGTCGGGTGCGGGCGGGCTCGGGTTCAAT